CATGCTCTGATACCATGTCAGAATCTAGGACGAGGAATGAATAAATTAGCAGCAGGATGGGTACAAGTAGTAAACCCTGATTGGGTTGTACCCCATATAGGCTACCCCACTACAGCCTACACAATAAGCCGTATATAAGTTTGACACACATTGCCGCCGTACAAGCCGATGGCATGAACCCACTTTTGAGGGGACTCTTCACGCATGGATACATCATCGACCTCGAAGCCTCTGTAGCAGAAAAGCGCCATCTTTTGCAGTGGGATCTAGATATCGCATACGGCAAGGGATCCACAAAAGTATGGGTACCTAACTACCTGTCAGAATCCCAGCCACTAACCACTTGGATATAAGGGCTTGTTTGTATAGCGGGTAAGTGCGCCCATAACCCAGGCCAACGTGCCTGTAACCCTTCCCTAAGATCAATCGGGGATCACCAGTGGACCTCTGACACCCCACCGTACTGGGATGCCCGAAATGCACACACACTGGGATTCGAACCCGAGACCTTCGCTCTGATACCATGTCAGAATCCCAACCACTATGCCATTGGGATAAAATGGCTTGTTTACGTAGCGGGTGAGTGCGCCCATAACCCCCCAGGCTGCCATACCTGTAACCCTTCCCTAGGATCGATCGGGGATCATCAGTGGACCTCTGATACCCCCCCGCGCTGGGATGCCCGAAGTGCACACACCGGGATTCGAAACCGAGACCTTCGCTCTTATACCGTGTTTAATGGTTGGGATTCTGACATGGTATTAGAGCGAAGGTCACGGGTTTGAATCCCGGTGTGTGCACTTCGGGCATCCCAGTGCGGGGGGGTGTGAGAGGTCCACTGGTGATCCCCGATCGATCCTAGGAAAGGGTTACAGGCATGGCAACCTTGGAGGTTATGGGTGCACTCATCCGCTATGTAAACAAGCCCCTTTATCCCAATGGTCTAGTGGTTGGGATTCTGACAGAAGGGGTGCATAAATTCTTCGACTTGCTGACGCGGCTTTAGGGAGCTGACTTGAACTACAGTGAGCTTCAAAAGAAGACCAAGTTGCTGGTCTTACTCCCTGGATCATGGTCTTAGCTCACCATCAACCTCAATCGTGACTTGCCCTGCCTCTCGCTTGAAGACGTGATGCGAGCGATCCTTTAAGAGGATTTCCGTCGCCGTAAGCTGGCTAGTGTGGATGGCGCCGGGGCAGTAAGCATCGGCTGGTGGTACAGCCATGGAAAGGGTAGAAGACGAAAGGGAGGCAGATTTGGCAGCAACAACTTCAGTGGAGGTTGCAGGAGTGGCGGTTACAGCAGCGACAACTTCAACCGCTTCATCCTCTTCAATTCGTAACGTCGCCATTTGCCGTTCCAACACCACAGCTACCGCCGCTGTTGCAGGAGCGTGTACACTCTTGAGAGCAGCCCATGCCTTTGGTCCCTTCTCTGGTTCATGCTGGAATGGCTTGATGTGACGGATCTGGTTGCTCCCCAACGCTTGCCCTAGTAGGAGGTAGCCTTGTGCGCTCTTCCGCACCCACGGGGTCTTCTCCGGGCCGTTCTCGGGGCGCTTCTCCGTTCCTTCCATCACCTCCAGCAGGTCATAGTGATTAAACACGTTCTCCATTCTGAAGGACCACTCAGCAAAGTTGTCACCGTTGAACTTGTCAAGGCCAAACACTCTAGGCTCGTCCCTAGATGGGCCAACACTTGGTTGCACAGGCGCCATGGCTGAGTCACGGGGCTGGCCTTGAGCTTGGGCTTCTCTGCTGCCACCAGCACCTCAGCCACCCCTTTCCTCAGGTCCAGCCATTGTCGAAACTGCTCCAAGGGGCTCTGATACCACTTGTTATAGTCACAGTAGGCTCCAATGTGCCTAGAACGAAAGATAGAGTGCACAGTTGGATTTCCGCACAGTGGCTTCAAACGTTCATAGCGATGTGCTCACAACTCCAAAAGACTTCATTCAACTTGGATCTAGAGCGCCTTAACGTCACCTACAATAGGCAATTTAAATCGCATGCTTTCATTAACAACTGACGACACAGCGTCGGTTTGAACAAACGGCACTATGGCAGCAACATAGTCTTAGAACAAAAGATAGAAAGAGTTAGGAAGAGTTACGAGTTCCTACAAACCCCAAGAGCCGAGGTACAGTAACTTGGAACAGTGCCACACTATCCCCAACCACGAAGGGTCTCGAAACTACCCTTCACTAGGGCCTACAACAAGTGAAATGTTACACTACACAACGTAATGTAACTATCTTCAATATCTTGAGTTGCACCCTTTTGGCGAGCTTCGAAATCACTTGAGGCTTGACACCAAGGCTCGGGCTCTTCATCACAAACTCATCCTTGAGTTCTTGATGGGTCTTCTGCACACACCTGCGACACGCCGAACGTTTGACACAGGACAAAATAGAAACCGCGCACGACAAAATAGAAACCGCGCGCGAGACACAAACGACCGCGTAACACACGTCTAGCGATAACTCGCTATTGACTCGACACACACACTGGACATCATGACTCAACATTCACACACAATTATAAGCATGAAATATATATTATCCCATGCCCTCATACCATTCGATACACACACACACACATGCACGCACACGGACAACAAGCCGAGTGCAAACCGTAGGGTTGCACCAACAATCATATGAATGGCAAACAGACTGATTCGGAGCTGCTCCCTACATACTTGCCTTCAAGCTTTGTGCATGAAATGCCTAGCCCAAAATCAATCTCTAACGCGGCATAACCACTGTACCGTAGCGTCACTCAATCTACCAGCAACTCAAGGTGGAACCTATCGTATCACAAGCACAACAGTCTAATCTCTAACTCTACTCCCTTGGCTGCACCGCATCCATGCCATGGATGATAAAAAGCTTCCCTCTGAAAATTGCCTGTTCCTTGATCTTTGCCTTGCCCTTTGTGATTGTCACCTTCCGCCCACTCTTGCTATCCAAAACCTCTTCCGTACCCACGCTGCGACCATTTGCGTTCTTTAGCCCTTTGGAGGTCTTCAGGTCATCCTCCTCGTACACTCCATCCAGAATGTTTGTGCGAATCCAGTTCCTGTACGGGGTGACGTCGCCGCAATTGAACTTGGATTTCGTGAACGTGGTAGCTGCGTCAGGCGCAGCTGAAGCGATGGTGGTATCGTCGGGTAGGAGGACGGTTTTCCCCTCGGTGTTGGCGAGATATGCGTCTGGTGGGTTCTAGTCGGTCTCTGCATCACATAAACAAAAAGAATTGATATGGATAAAGCGATTGCACAAACATGAGCAATAAAATGGGAAAGGAAAATAGGAAAAACCATATTAGTAAGAATAAAATGATTCAAGTGCATGCAATTAGTAGCATGATCCATCCAGAATCGTGACATGCACTGAACGCAAGTAGGTTAGCATGATTTACCCATAATTGGGACGAGCTGGTTCAGGAATGCGCCGCTGCTCTTGTACTTTCCGTTCAGTTTCGGGTCCTTGAGCGCCTCCCGAGCCGACTTCACCTCGTTGATCTGATCCTCCTTGCTGGGCCACGTGGAAGCCAATGCCAACAGCCATGCGAGCGTGCAGGTGGCGGCAAGAACCGAGAGCTGCCTCGAGAGTCTCATGGCGCGCGCGCCACGAGGCCGGGGATGAGTGACTGTGACCATACTGGAAGCAGGAACTGTTGTGAGGGTACGTGGAGGAAAATATTGAGCTGAAAGTGGCAACGTAAGGGGTTTATGAGGAGCCCCTAAGAGATGCAACTGCTTAAATGGTTGGTAGCGTGAGAGCAGAGAGCACGCGTGCGCAAGGGTAGCAAGTGTGCGGGCGTCGAACATGCTGAAGTCAAACTAGCGCGCGCTAGAGACGGCAATGAGAATGAGCGAGGGAACAGAAGCGCCGATATTTAGAGAGCAAAAGAGCAATGCACGTGCGAGCATAAGGGCGGGGAGCGTGCGAGCGTTAATGCAGCAAACGAGAGATGGAGTGGTAGCTGAAGACAGAGAGCGAAAAGGCAGCGAAGGAATTTGAGGGAGATAAAAACGAGATGGCGTCGTCTAGAAGCGCAAACCAGTGAGGGAGCGGATTGGGAAGAGATACCGAGGATGAAAGAGTGTTTGTGAAATCCAAGCAATACAGAGTTCAAGCAGATGACAAATTAGGCGAATGCGAACGAATCAAAGAAGACAGAGTCATAAAATGGTAGGGAGACGCGCCTCACAGAGAAGGCACTGTCACGGCGGCTGACCTCCAATTCACGACGGACGTCAAGGCGGAGCCTAGGGGGGGCGAGCAGAGAAGTTGATGGAGTGAAGGGACTCGATTTAGCTGCAGCAATGTAAGCAGGAGCAAGTCGCACAGCCCGTAAATATGATGAAGGGCGGACAGCTCACTTCAAAACATCGAAAATCCCTGACGCGTCACATCACCATGTGACATTGCCAGGATCAATCCTGCGCGGCGCAGGACAAGAGTATGGCGGGGATAGAAAAGATTCTGAAGGCTTTGGATGCAAAACGAGGGATTATAGTGCGGTGGGGGACCGACTATGGACGATCGATCGTCCCACGCGACGCCACCTAAAACAATCATCGAAGCGCGAGTAGAACAAGCAACAATGATTGGGTTGGGAGTGACGGTTCGATGACATGGACATATCCTCGTTAACATATTATCTACCCATGACAAACTAGCAACAAACAAACAATTGTGTCAAAGTTGTGGTCATACCGAGGACATTGCATTGCGTTTCTCTGAGGCTCCTTCTCGTTCAGTTTCAGCATCTAACACCAATGTTGCCATGCCAGGTTCTATGTTGGTTGCTACGTCAGCATTATACTACCAAGAACATAACATCAAGGTCAATGGCACTCTTTCAATGTGTCTGCTGTTACCAAGGTTCAGCGTTCAGGCCAAGTTGGTCCTCTACTCAGGCTGTCTTAAGGCGTTCGGTTTGCCTGATTCACCAGCACTTTGCTGGCTGTGCTGGCTTTTTCATCATCATGCCATGCCTCCGAAAGGGAAGCCTGCCAAGCCTGCGAGTAAGATGGACCCTGTCGCTGCTTGTGCTACGCTGAAAACGCCAGTGGCGGGCTCCTCTTCTAGGCCGATTTCTGCTACTGCCGTTGCGGCGAAGTCGTCACGCACACTGTTTGATGAGAGTGACTCCAAGTCATTGACGCTGTCGGCAAAGCTGGCTGCCATTCGTATTGAACAAGCTGCTGGTGGGAAGAGGGATAATGGCAAGGGGAAAGACAATGACTTTAAGGATGCAGTCTTGGATGCGGAAGAGGATCCGACTACGGAAGATGATGATGGTGACTTGTCTGGAGTTGCTCGTCGTACCTGCTTCCTGGATGATGATGACGACGGTCTGATCGCTCATGATCCGAAAGAAGGTTTTGAGGATAAGGCGAAGGAGACGCTGGCAGCAAAGCCGCGGTTTTCGCTCACATTGCTGATACCCAGTGATCACCTGCAAGAAGTACGGCGCACACAGGTAACGATTAAGGAGCTGCTGGGGACCTAGGAGAATGAGCTCACAGAGAATGCGGAGAAGACGACAACCTTCATGGAACTTACCCCAGGTTATATGGCGAAGAAGTTGTATGGCCATATGCAAGTCATTCTTGTTGCTGCTTCTGATACTAACTTTGTTTGGCATAATCGCATCGAACATCAATGTGTGGACGGGAAGTACGTCTTCCTAGATTGGTTGTACGCGGAGGATCCGAGCTACGTCAAGAGGAAGATGACTAACCCGCAGGTCATTGAAGTCCTTTTTCTTGGCGTTGCTGCAGAGATTTCCCCAGATATGCTTCATGAAGCCCTTGTTGTTTCCCCGCTGAAGATCTGCAAACGCCCAGCTTTCAAGGCTGACTTCTATTTCCATCGCGTGGTTCACCCTGTTTTGGGCCTGGATACAGATCGGGTGAAGGGATTGGTGGTTGTGCATGAGAACGACAAGTTTTGGTGGCTGCACTTTTTTGAGAATCCAGTGGCGCCTGCCGAGAGGATCATGGTGCACTACCCCTCTATGAAGTGCTCGCTCTGTGGGGGTTTACACTCGGTGCACAATCACAATGATTTCGTCACCAAACGCCAGAACAACATCTCCAAGTGGAACCTCACAGTGGAGAGGATCCAGGAGCTCAAGGGTAAAATGGTGTTCGATGCTTACCTCGTTATGCTGTCGCTGCTTTTCATCGGTTGGTGGTGTCAGATGGTCAGCTGCTTACCTCCCCCTCCCATGCAACGGCTGCAATTGTAGCCACAGCAACGTCCAAGATCGTCCTGAACCGGCACTGGTGCTGATCTCAACGGCCAGCAACAGGGAGGAGTGGGTTTGTCTGCTGGAGTGTTGCCAGAAGGCAAAGGGGTCTTCCCTAGTGCAAGCGGGTCACCATGTCCTCTCTCAGCGTCACAGGGGAGGCCTGGCGAAGCCGGGTGCTGCAACGCGTGCTCTCAAGGCCAACCTGAATCTTCGGGTGATGCGCAAGGAGATCGGGATTTAGTGGTGTTTCTCACAGGAGGAGAGAGGAAGCAAGTAGTGATAGCATCATTGTCCTGCATGTTGTACTGGATGCATTATACTGGTAACCGTGCCTGTTTCAGATACTCATCTCCAGCCCGTGGATGCTTTGAGGCTTTCGTCCGGTTGATTAATGGATAAACCCTGCAGACTAACGGTGTGCGGGCTCAATATCAACGGGCTCGGGAGAAGAGGGAAGCAACACAACCTGGAAAAATGGATGAAGAAGGAAGAGGACATCTTTGTACTTACGGACACAAGAGTTGCGCCAGATCACAAATGCTGGAAGCAGCTTAACTACTATCATTGCCTTGCAGTTGCGAATGTGGAATGTGCTGGTGGTGTAGCAATTGTAAGCAACAATAAGCAGCAGGTGTTTGAGGACGTTGTCCTGCATGACTCAGGGAGGCTCATCCTAGCAAATGTAAAGTGGGACATCTTCTCCTTCACAATTCTGGCGGCTTACCTTCCGGCGAGCGCCTGTAGCAGAGTTACCTTTTTCAAGGACGAACTGGGTCCCCTCCTTGCAAATTTGAATGGTCGGAGTCGGCTGCTACTGTCAGGCGATCTTAACATGGTGGAGGACCCTTTGCTGGACAGGTCCCTAGCAGGAGGCTCTTCAGGGGAAAATGACAGGCTGATACAGCTCTTCGGTGGTCTCCCCATGGCTGATGTGTTCCGATCGTTGAGCCCAGGCGCCAGGGAGTTCACCTTCTACACGCGTGCAACACAAACGAGTTCCAGAATTGACAGGATCTTGGTTTGGCGGAGTTACCTTTATTTTTGTGGTTGAGGCCTCTCACTCTCGGTCGCATAAGGGATTCTCGGATCACACGTGTGGTGTGAAGACGGTGCTGCAAGCGAACCTGCGATTGCACATGGGTCCAGGCATCTGGCGGCTACCAGCTGCAGACACGGCGAAACCGGGGGTGGAGAGAATTATTAAGGCGGTCACAGAGAAGCACCGTGAGGGTCACTGCTCACCAAACTTAAAGCGGCCCTCATAAGATACGCGGCTGAAGAGCGGAAGTGGGTGTGTGCGACACCGCGTCACCAGGAGCTTGTCAAATTATAATATTGTGTAGGCTATAGTGGGGTAGCCCATATGGGGTACACATTGCTAGGGTTGCATATTTGTATCACTTCCATTCATATTTGATTCATCCTCGTTCTACTTTCCTCATGGTATCGAGCAGGTTCCCCCGTGGGAACTGTGCCTAGGGCCCACCACATCGAGATTTTTTTTTTCCTGCCTCAAGCGCGCTCCGCCCGAGTCGCGCTCCGGGCTCTCACCTCCTCGAGCCGCCCTAGCGCCCCCCTCTCCCTTAGCGGCCCCGCCACCCGTTAGTGCGGCCCCGCCGCCCGTTAGTGCGGCCCCGCCGCCCGTTAGTGCGGCCCCGCCGCCCGTTAGTGCGGCCCCGCCGCCCGTTAGCGCGGCCTCGCCGCCCGCATTCGCGGCCCCGCCGCCCGTTCGCGCGGCCCCGCTGCCCTTCTACAGCGGCCCCGCCGCCCTTCTCCTACGGCCCCGCCGCCCTACTCAGCGGCCCTGCCGCCCTTCTCCTGCGGCCCCGCCGCCCTACTCAGCGGCCCCGCCGCCCTTCTCCTGCGGCCCCGCCGCCCTAGTCAGCGGCCCCGCCGCCCTTCTCCTGCGGCCCTGCCACCCTACTCTGCGGCCCCGCCGCCCTTCTCCTGCGGCCCCGCTGCCCTACTCAGCGTCCCCGGCACCCTGCTCCTGCGGCCCCGTCGCCCTACTCAACGGCCCCGCCGCCCTACTCTGCGGCCCCGCCGCCCTGCTCCTGCGGCCCCGCCGCCCTACTCAGCGGCCCCGCCGCCCTACTCAGCGGCCCCGCCGCCCTACTCCTGCGGCCCCGCCACCCTACTCAGCGGCCCCGCCACCCTAATCGGTGGCCCTTCCGCCCTTCTCCTGCGACCGCGATGCTCTACCCAGCGGCCCCGCCGCCCGTCTGCTGCGGCCCCGCCGCCCTTCTCAGCGGCCCCGCCGCTCTCAACTCCTGTAGTGCCGCCCGAGCCGCCCGCGCCGCCTCGCCCAGCCGAGCCGCCCACCGCCGCGCCACCCTGCAGCAGCACAACCGAGCCGCCCAGCAGCAGAGCAGCCGAGCCGCCCCGCCGCCGAGCCGCCCTGCCGCAGAGCCGCACTGCAGCCAAGCCACCCAAACGCCCACCAGTAGAGCCGCCGTGCAACCGAGCCACCTAGCAGCCGAGCCGCCCAGCCGCCAAGCCGCCGAGCCGCCCTACAGCCGAGCCGCCCGAGCAGCCCTGTCCGGTGAGCACAGCCCCTTTGTCACTGCGTGCCCTTCCCCTACTGCTTTCACTGCTAGTCTACCGTTGTCATGGCTACCCCTAGTGTCCTCGCTTTTGACGCTGAGGGTCGAGCCATTGACTTTGAGGTCTGGGTCGACGACCTGCAGCTTTACTTACAGTGCGATAGGGCGGACGGTCTTTCTCTCTTTGACCTCACCTTTGGCGCCTCTCCTCCCCCTACTGCTGATGCTGACCCCACTGTTCGCTCTCAGTGGGCCACCCGCGATGCTGCTGCACGTCTTGCTGTGCGTCGCCACCTGCCCACCACTGAGCGAGCGCACTTTAGTCTGTACAAGAGTGCTCAGACCTTGTACGACGCTGTAGTTGCGCGCTACTCTTCCCCTGCCACTGCTGCACTGAGCCGCCTCATGCTACCGTACCTCTTCCCTAACGTTGCTGCCTTTCCCACAGTCGCTGACCTCATTACGCACCTCCGCACTAGTAACACTCGCTACCGCGCCGCGCTTCCCGCTGAGTTCTGCGCCAAGAACCCCCCCCCCCCCCCCCATGTACATCACTCTCTATTGCATAGTCACCCGCCTCCCTGACTCCCTTCGCGTAGTCAGGGACCACTTCCTCTCAGTCTCTCCCGCCACTCTCACTGCTGACCTCCTAGAAAAGGCCCTCCTAGCAGCGGAGAAGAGCATAGTCGCTGTAGGACCCTCTCGTGGTGACCCTCGCACCCCCATCTTTGAGGGGTGTTCCCCTTCCCCCATGTTGCCCTCTATCGCCTCTACTGCTGCGGCTGACCTACTTGGTCTTGAGTCGGTTGGTGCGGCGTCTGCCCCTAGCTGGAGACGCCGCTCAAGCAAGGGCAAGGGGGGTAAGGGCGCGGGTGGAGCTAGCGGGGGTGGTGGAGGTGGCGGTGGGAGTGGTGGTGGTGGTGGAGGTGGTGGTGGCGGCAGCGGAGGCGGAGGCGGCGGCGGCAGTAGCGGTGGGAGCGGAGGCAGCCGTGGTGGCGGAGGTGGAGGCGGCAGTGGCAGAGGAGGTGGAACTAGTCGGGGTGGTACCTCGCAGCGGAGCGGTTCTGGTGGTTGTTAGCGCCAGCAACAGCAGCAGCAGCAGCATTCTCGGGACATCCCCCCTCCTCAGCAGCTCTTTGAGTGGTACACGCAGCGTCAGTGTGGTGGGGGTTTTGGTCCGTGCACCTACGTCCTTCGCTCCGGCGATCGCGCGGGTGAGCAGTGTGGGGGTGCCCACCCCACCCAGCGCTGCTTTGGCCGCCTGACGGACGCTTGGCGTCAGCAGTTCCCCGCGGCTAGTGAGATCCCCCACTGGGGAGAGCTGTCTAGGGCAGGTGTAGCTATCTATGATCTTGACTTTGATGCTATCCTTGCTGCCATGTATGCTGTGACTATAAGTGATGAGGGTGACTGTTACCGGTGTTTCCCGCCCGACCCGGGCATTGGTACTGCTGCGCTAGGTGCGAGTGAGGGTGCTGCTCTAGGTGCTAGCGCGTCTGCGCCCTCAGGTACAGGTGAGGCTGCGCTCTCAGGTACCGCGTCGGCTTCGGCCTCCCTCACCTTCACACTTGACTCGAAGGCTTCTCGCTCCTTCTTTCGAGACCACACCACACTCACGCCGCTTGGTCGGCCGGTTGCCGTCTCCCTGGCTGACCCCTCTTGGGGTCCTGTCCTCTCTCAGTTCTCCACTATCCGCGAGTGTCCGGCTGCCCCCTCGGGCACCTTGTCTGGTCTTTACCTCCCCTCATTCGCGACGAACTTGGTGAGTGGTGCTGACCTGTAGGATGCGGGGGCTCACCAGTTTACTCCAGCGAGTCAGCGGGTGACCCACTGCTCGGACGCCCGCATAGGCCGACACCTGGCCACGTTTTCGCGCCGGCCGGGGTCGAGCCTCCACACCATGACCACAGAGTCTCCTCCTGTCCCTGCGTCTGGCCAGGTAGCTGCGTCGGGTCAGGTGTTTGCTGCTGCGTCCAGGTCTGGTCCTGAGTCTGCCCCCTTCTCGTGTCGCCTCCTGTCTCACGAGACTCTCCTCTGGCACCACCGTCTTGGCCACCCCTCCCTGCCTCGTCCTCGGGGCATGGCTTCCCGTGTCCTTGTCTCTTGTCTTCCCCAGTCCCTTCCCCCTCTTCCTTCGGGGCCTGGTCCTTCCTGTGTCCCTTGTGTCGAGGGGCGGCTCCGGGCTGCCCCTCACTCCTCTCAGTTTCCCCCGACAGAGGCCCCGCTGCAGACGCTTCACATGGACGTGTGGGGCCTGGCCCGCGTCCGTGGATAGGGTCACGAGCGCTACTTCCTGCTGGTGGTTGACGACGACTCGCGTTACACCACAGTCTTCCCCTTGCGCAGCAAGGGTGATGTCACTGAGGTGTTGATCGACTGGATCCGCGCAGCTCGTCTCCAGCTCAGGAGGAGCTTCGGCTCGGACTTTCCTGTTCTGCGTCTGCACTCTGATCGAGGCAGAGAGTTCTCCTCTGACCTTCTGCGAGCCTACTGTCGTGCGCGAGGCATCCGCCAGACCTTTACGCTTCCGGACTCTCCACAGCGAAATGGGATTGCTGAGCGCCGCATTGGCATGGTCATGGACGTCGCTCGTACGTCCATGATGCATGCGGCTGCCCCCCATTTTGTGTGGCCGTTTGCGGTTCGGTACGTGGCGCATCAGATCAACCTTCACCCCAGGGTCTCCCAGCCGGAGACC